ATCCATGGCAAGAAGGAGCGCGGCAAGGAATTCCTGCAGCTGAAAGATACGCGCACTGGCACGTGGGTCAACGGTCGATGTTTAAACGCATCCACACATGTCGTCCCTCTCGTCTTCCTCACCTCCTCAACCTCCTCCCTCTGTCGCCATCCTCCCTCCTCCCGTCGCACGCTCCGCATCCATCCTCCCTCCCTCCTTCGTCCCTGCTTCCTCGTTCATCCGTCGACCCTGAATCATGCGTCCGTTTCTTGTCTTGCCCTCCTGTTTGCTGCCCAGGTTCTCTGCATGCAGACCAGCGCATTTGACGACAGCTTCAAGAGGGCGCTGGCGTGGGCGACGGACGTGGCTAAAAAATATTTCGACGAAGGCGAGCATGGGGTCTTGAGCAAAGAGCCGAAACGGAACGAGCTTCAACCCTCACTCCCCTGGCCACACCCCCCCACGTCCTCTCACGCTGTTCCGAGACTCGCGACAACCCTCTCCCTGCAGCCCCAGAAGGCTTGAGCAAGGAGGATGTCGACGCTATCAAGAAGGCATTCCTCGCTGAGATATCGCAAGAAGAACCTGGGGCCGAAAGGGCCGCCGCCGATCTTGAATCATCCCACCGTTCCCTCCGCCCTATAGGGCTGGGCCATTCGATGGCTTCTTGACCTGACCCCCTCCAACTCCCTCTCCGCCCTCGCAACGCGCCCCTGATGTGATCTAGGTTCTTTGTCCCGCCCGCCCAGGAAGAGGCCTGCGACCATGCGGAAGCCAGCCGCATCGCCGGGAACAGGGATTTAAACGCTGTTCCGCCCCTGGGAATGGGCCGCGGATGAACCAGGAGGATGAGGGGGATGAGGGGGGGATGGGGAGGAGGAGGAGGAGGAGGAGGCGAGGAGGAGGAGGATCGAGGAGGAGGAGGAGGACCGAGGAGGAGGAGGATGAGGCGGAGGAGGAGGACCGGAGGAGGGTGAGGAGGGGAGGAGGAGGAGGAGGAGGAGGAGGAGGAGGAGGAGGAGGAGGAAGGGGTGGCAGGTCCCCCGCTGGGTGAACTGCTACGTTATGGGTCTACTGGCCTGCCCTTGGAGCAATCTGATGGCGCTTGAACCCCCTGAGGAGGAAGAAGGAGGAAGGCGTCGGAGGATGAGGAGCATGAACGCCAAGCAACACCCCTGCATGGCGAGTTGAATGGCCTTGTTCTTGGGGACTGGGTCCTGGGCCAGAGAGAACGGGGGGAAGAGCAGTTTCCTCAGGGGGGAACGAAACGGGGACAACGACAGAGGAGACGCACCCTTCGAAGGACATCAAGATGCCGATGCCAGCCAACCTGTGCAAAAACGACCCAGTGCTCATGTGCCAGATGAACCAGGTGCCAGCCCGCTTCCCGTGCGCAAGCGGCCCAGTGCTTATGTGCCAAGTGAACCAGACGCACCGACCTGTCCGCCCCCATCGCGCAAGCCAGCTGCCTGTCAACCTGGACTTGCATCAGATGGCTCACATGACCTAGCAGCAGCAGAGCAAGCCCCAAAACAACGGCCCTCTGCGCATCAACCCGAACCTGCACCAGATGGTTCACTTGACCAAGCGGCAGCAGAGCAGGCAGCAGACGGCGGCGAAACGGCAGCAGGTGAGCGAACAGACCCAGCGGCAGCAGAGCGGGCACCAGACGGCGGTGAAACGGCAGCAGGTGAGCGAACACAGGGGGGCGATCGAAAGGCCGAGGATCATAGGCAGTTGAAGCGCACGCGCGCAACGTCCCCGCCGACTACTCCTAAGAAGGCACCCAAGCGCGGTGCTGGCTCGCCGACATCGGACCCTCGGCTGAGCCCCCTTTCATACTCCGTTATCTGTTCTTCGTTCCACTTCCTTCCCCTCCCGCCCCTCCTCCTCATCGAGGCTCCTCCCTCCTTCTCCTCCTCCTCCTCCTCCTCGCCCTTTTTCTCGAGGACGCGCCGCGGCCACCATTGGAGCCGCCACCGTCATGAATGAGGTGCGCTTCGAGATGCGCGCGGGGGGGGCTCGAGAGCCAGAGAGCGCTGCGTCTGAAGAACGGTGTATGCGTTCCCCCCTCCCTCTCGATCCTCCTCCTACTCCTCCTGCTCCTCCTCCTCCGCGAGGATCCTACTCCTCCTCCTCCTCCCCGTCGGATCCTCCACCTCCGTCCTACCATCTCCGATCGCTCCCGTCCCCCACCCGCCCCCCTGCCCCCGTCGCAGGCCCGCCCGCTGGCCTATGCGCTGGCCCTTCAAATCCCGTCTCGCCAGTCTTGTTCCAGCAGCCACGCTCTGCAACGTGCGTCAACTCTCGCCGCTGCCCGAAATCTGTCACAGCCACGTGGGCTGCAAAGTTTTGGTCAACCCCTCGGCCGTAAGTTCGCCACTACAAGCTGACCAGTAGCATACAGCAATGGCGCCGCCTGCCATGCGTTTGGCGCAGGAGATCCCAGTCGACTCCCAGGGCAGTGGTGAGCCTGCCGAGGCCCTTGAGTGGTACAAGGGCCGATCGGGCCTGCGCGGCCCAGGGCCGACGCCGAAACCTGATTCCGAAACCAACACGCCGAATCACAGGACACGCTCCAGCACGAGGCGCTTCTGATCGACGACTCGCCCGTCGAAGAGCATGCTTCGGACCCGCGCCATGCCGACCGTGGTGATCCCTCGTTGTATATCCCAGCGCCGAACAGCGGACCTGAACGCGTGCTTGGCCACAGTGCTCAGCTTCCCGAAGGCTGCTGGACTAATGCGCCTTTCGGCGAAGTCGGCACGCTAACTGGTCCCCAAGCGGAGGCGCCAGCTGGCGCCGACACGCCTTCGGGGTCGTCGAGCGGCGTCGCCAGCGGCTTCAGCCAGCCAGCGGGTGGGCTCGCGGCGGCGACGCCCGGCGCGGTCCCAGCCAGTGAAGATGAGCTTTCGTAGGCAATCCTGGATCATACCCTTACTCCGTCCTCCAACTCTTCCTCCCTCCCTCCCTCTCTCCCTTCCCTCCCTCCCTCCCTCCCTCCCTCCCCCCCTCCCTCCCCCCCCCCTCCCTCCCTCCCTTCCCTCTCGGGCTCGCCTTGCCGTTGCCCGCCCCAGTGCACAGGCGGCCAAGCTGAAGATGGAGACTGACGCGATCGACGCAGAGATGGCTAGGCTGATGGAGCGCAAGAAGGCAATGCAGGATTGGCGACGGGCGGATAGTGGAGTAGACTGGAGAGAATGATTGGGAGGAAAGGGACTGAGAGAGGATGAGGAGAGGACGAGGAGAGGATGGGGAAGAGTATTTTTCAAATGCAAGCTCACCAGGAGAAACACATTATGGCGGGGCCTCCGTCGCTGGCGGAACGCGGGGCGGTCGATCCCGACCGCGTTCTTGAAGCCCTCGAGAGCCAGAACGCTCACCCTGTAGAAATGATGGCGGCGACCAGCGCCGCGCGCAACAATGTCGAAGACCACCTGCTCAGCGGCGGCCTGGGCGTTGACGGCGTGGTCCAGCAGATTTTCGGCGGCGGCGGCATCAGCGGCTCTGGCACCCCCCTTCAATGTGGAAGCGCTGTTGGTTCAGCGATGCGCCTCTGAGAAATCAGAGGCCCCAGCAGGCGCCATGGCTCCTGTTGGAGGTGGCGATGCCCAGGCGGTTGATGGCGAAGGTGGCAGCTCAGGCGGCCGAGACGTGCTGCTCGAGAACGCTGCCAAAAACAACTTCCACTTCAGTGCGAAGTCCTCGCTTGGTGCTCGCTTCTACCGATCTATGCCGAAGGGGCTGAAAGATGAGTATTCCAAGTCGAAGGGCGCCAAGAAGCAGCAGCTCAGGGCGGCCTGGGCAAAGGGTCAGCACGAAGAGTACAAGGCGCCCGATGCCATTCTCTTTTCTTACTTACCTGTGCTCTCCGCGCGCCCCAATGCACTGCGGTCCACGGTCGCGGAAGTTGGTCGTCGGTCGATGCCGTCGTTGCCTGGCCCATCCCGCCCATCCCCAGGCCGTCCGGGAACGCTGCGTCGCGAGCGTCCGCAAGGACGAGCAGCGGTGGGCGCTCTTGAGCCTGGACGCTATCATCAGATAGGACAGGCTGCGTTCAGGAGGATGAGAGGACACGGACGTGGAGGGAGGAGGGAAGCGGAAGGACGAGGATGGCAGGAGAGAGGGGGGCGAGGAGGAGGACCGCGCCAACGACGACGATCACGAGACGCGAAGGGGTAGATGGCGGATGCTGTGAATCAGAGGAGAAATAATTTCCACCGTCGAATGCTGACGGGCGGGCGGCAGCCAGCCAACAACACTACGCATTTGAGAGAGTAAGGGCGAGCGAGAGAGAGAAGGAGA